AATTGTATCCAGAGAATCAACAATAAAAAAAGTATTTACACTGTTAACGTAATTCTTGAAATATTTGGAGAAATGTAAAATATCTGGGCCCTTTTTTATTTTTTTTATTTCTATCTTTTATTTTTTGTCTTTGTTAAAATCTCTTTTGTTATTTATTTAAGTTAAAGTATGTCATGTCTTAACTGTATTTGCACTCCATCATATTCTGGAGATATTGTTCTATTTCTTGAGATATGTTCTGTTAATATTTTGTAATTCGCAATGTTTCAATAAAAAAACTAAAAAAAAAAGACATTGTCGTATTTTGCACATTTTGTTCTTTGAGTGTTGAAACAGTAACCTATTTGTTTTGGCATTGCTCTTTTGACCAAAATCTCTGGTCTGACATTTGTAAGTTTATTGCAGAAAAAATTGAGAAAGACTTTAAGTTATTTTGGAAGTTTTACAGAAGTTTTACAGTTATTTTGTCCTATTTGGACTTTATGACCTCAACATAACATATGACCTTATTAATCGGATTATTCTCTTGGCAAACTTCTACATTCATAAATGTAAGTTTTCACATTCCAAAATATCTTTAATTAACAATGAGGTCAAGCAATATGTGAACGTGATTAAGTATTCTCTTAATCAAAGGCAACAAAAACTGTAAATGTGTTTAAACAATTTAATATCTTTTTGTAAATTTGTACTTTCCCTGGAAAATGTGATGATTTTATGTTAAAACACCAGCAATGTTGGATACTGCACAGTGAAATATTTTCTCAATGGAGACGGATGTTCATGTATTCATGTAAACTGTGCAATTGTTGAATAAAAAAAATAATAATAATAAAAGAAAAGATACATCGAAACGCCAGTTCAGCTTTATGTCGCTGATGGTCCAATGCATCCCGGGCAGTTATGTGATCTGGGTTCTGCAGCTGCAACCAAGCAGAAACTCCAAACCCATCAAGCGCGCAGATCTTTCCCAGAAGTTCACATGTGACGTCAAAAAGGCGTTTAAGAAACCTTGGAAGCACCAATATCTTCTTGTCTACTCACACAAACACATACAGTAATAACAATGAGAATGTGATGTCCACTGGGGCTCTGCGCTGATTGGTGCCAGAGAATGACCGCGCGTAATTACGCATAATGAGGAACTATTCTGCTGATTGTGTTTGAGAATCCAAGTGGGCCTCCTGACAAAACCCAGAGAATATTTAGTTAGAGATTTTATTAGGCAAACTATAAGCTCATAGTAGATGAACTAAAGGTTAGAAATTGAACTAATAGATTCTGCAGAGTGGGAAACACTCCATTCAGGCTCTTAGCTGCTCAAAGTAAAGTCCCAGTTGCTCCCAGTAACAGTTTTTCCTGACTCATCCTTAGATGATTAAAATGAGTAATTTATAACGCTGATAAGTGACAGCAGAGGAAACATTCCCTATTCTAGTAACACAATAGAAGCTTATGTAATTTTTACTCATGAATAATCAGTGGACTTCAGTGATGATGTATAATTAGGTAACGCTACAATAACTGTTCTCATCAGAGCGCCTCTAGGATCACTGCAACAAAGGATGACCTCAGCCTGTACTTCCTAATGAGCCCATGAACTGTCTGGAGGGCTGCTACTGGGG